ACTTAGAGCAAGGGAGCTGGAACTGACCTGGAAGCCTTCTCCCTGAAGACCAGTTCTTATAGTTCTAGAAGACACTATTCAAGCTGCTAAGGGAGAAAAATCAATCAATGGTCCAACCCAGCTGTGAAATCTAATAAGCCTGACTGGCAGAGCAAAGTATCTCTATTGGTGCAGTAGTGGCACTTTTAGCTAGGGGGTAATAAACAGCTGTCTAATTGGACTTAAAGCCTTGTCAATGGGAGGAAACTCATGGGTGGCACTGTGAACATAGCCAAATGCACATGGCTGGAGAGGTCATAGATCTTGGAGAAAACTCCATTTCTGTCATATCGCTAGACAAAAGAAATTTCTTCCTATATGTTAAATATGTACCCTTATATTTACAGACAAGTATAACATATACCATTCATCAAAGAATCTTTTTGCAATAGATGGAGGCTATTACAGAGTTATACTCCTGGTCACACACAGACAATATATGTTTGAAAAATGCCCAGCCCTAAGTGACACATCTTCAGTAGAACCTCAACACCTAAGGCTCATGGAACATAGAACAGGAGGTAGAGGGAATATTAATACATACTACTCTTAAACATGAAGCTCCCTCATACAGCTGAGTGGGATGCACACAGAAGGCCAAATTGACCAAGTTTTAGAGAATAAGAGACTACAGGGTTCATGTCTCTAGATAGGATTCCTACATTAAACCTCACACACCCCATGACTCAGGAACCATTGTGGAAGAGGAGGCAGAAAGATTGCAAGGGCCAGGGTTGGTGCATGAATATAAGGAACAAAGGCTTGCTCTTATGAACTTGAAACCATGGTGAGAGCATGCAGAAGGCTGATACTGACTCAATAAGACAAAATCCCAGCACAGAAGTGGGGAAAGAGGCAGCAACCCCAACCCTAGCCGAGGAACCATTGACAATTGATTACTGTGGGTTGAGGGGAATAGATGTTTTTCAAGGGAGTGACTCTAGATAGACTGGCTAGATTCCAGTGGATGAACTTGCACTGAGGGACATCTGGGTACAAATGCTTGACTATATAGGACTTAACATACATGATAGAATGTATGAAATCCAGTGGGGGAGCTGTGAAGGGGTATGAATGCAGGAAGGGTTCTAAATTTGATTAAAATGTGTTATATGAAATTCACAAAAATTCAACAAAAATATTTAAAAATATAAAGAAAGAGAAGTTTAGAAAAAATGGAATGAGATACCCATAAGCCTATGGGATGTAGTGGTTTGAATGAGAAGTGCCTTCCATGGCTCAAATAGTTGAACATTTGGCCCCCAGTTAGCAGTGCTGTTTGGAGAAGCAATGGAATCTTAAGGAGGTGTAGCTTTACTAGAGAAAGTATGTATTGAGAGTATTGAGAGTCTGGAGTCATACCAGCTCACTCCCAGTTCACTCTATGGTTTGTCCTTGAGGTTGAAGATGTGATCTCTCAGTTTCCTCCTTCCACCACTTGCTGCCATGCATGACTCACTCAACATTATGGACTCATTCAACTGTAAGCCAATATAAACTTTTCCATAAGTTGCCCTTGGTCACAGTCTTTTATCACAGCAACTGAAAGTGATTAAAGTAATATCTGACAGAGGGTTAGTATCTAGAATATACAAATAATAAAAAAGAAACATCAAAAAAAACAAATAATCCAATTAAAATGGGTCATGGAGCTAAATAGAGAGTTTTAGAAAGATGAAATACAGGGGCTGGAGAGATGGCTCAGCAGTTAAGAACACTGACTGTTCTTGCAAAAGACCTGGGTTTGATTCCCAGCACCCACATGGCAGCTAACAACTGTCCATAACTCCAATCCCAGGGAATCCGACGGCCTCTTCTGACTTCCTCGGTCATTGCATGACACGGGTTCACTTACCTACATATAGGCAATACACGCATACAAATGAAATAAAAATAAAAATAAAATATTTTTTAAAAAGATGGAAAAGATGAAATACAGCTGGAGTGGTGGCGCACGTCTGTAGTCCCAGCACTTGTGAGGCAGAGACACGCAGATCTCTGTGAGTTCAGGCTATACTTTTCTACATAGTGAGTTCCAGGACAGCTGGGGCTACAGGGAGAACTTGTCTCAAAAAAAAAAAAAAAAAAAAAAAAAAAAGATGAAATACAAATGGTTGTAAATTATTATTATTTTTAAAATGTTCAATATACTTAGTCTTTGGGTAAATAATGCAGGTTAAAACTATGGGATTTCATCTTACCCAATAAGAATGACTATGATTAAAAAAAAAAAAAGGAAAAAAAAAGCTGGTGTTGGTGTGGGGAAAAGAGAGCACTTATTCACTGCTGGAGAGAGTACAAAAGGTGCATGGACATCACTGTGGAGGTCCCCCCAAACTTTAGAAATTAACTTCGTGATCCAGATATAGAAACATTCTAAATGTGGTAATCCAGACCGATAAATACAAATATTTCATGTTTCTCTCAACTGTGATTGTTATCTTTGAATCTTTTAATATATGTCTTTCATTTTAAATGCCCATAGAAATTAAGAAATTAGTAAAGGGCCATGGTTAGGGGGCCTTCAAGGGAAGGAGAAATAGAAAATAGTGGTATAAAGAGGTAAAGGGGGACTGCGCATTGACTCCCTTACAGCCTGAGAAACTCCAATCTCCCAACCCCACATCCTGTTCTCCTTTAGTCTTTGGCACAGGTCCAGTTTTTCTCTTAGCAACCCAGATCTCTGGACTACCCTCTTAGTCCAGCCCTGCCTACTGTATCCTGATCTCCTACACTCAAACCAGCTCAATTTTTCAGTCTAGTTTCTTAGAGCTTTCACAGGTTGTCCACACCCCAAACTTGCCTTTGCACTCCTGAGAGCAGTCTTCTACCCCAGCTTCTCTCTCCACCCCCTACTTGCCTTGAATTTCCTAGACCAGCTTTCTTCCTTGGTAAGTCTGATCCCTCCTACTGCACTTTGACTCCTCTATAGTTTAAGCAATCCAAAACCTCAACCTCACATCCTATTCTTCTAGCCTTGGGCACAGGTCCACTGTTCTTCTTACCACCCAATATCTCTGTATTACCCTTTTAGCTCCACTTGATTGTGAACTCTCCAAATTACATGGTCCCCATCCCCCTACACTGGGACCATATGCAGCCCCTCCCATTGCTGCAGGACTAGGCTTCTCTGCCCTTTAGTATGGGCCCAGTACTTTTCAGACTGCCTGAGATCACCTGAATCCAGTCTCTGCCTAGCAAGCTTCCCAAATTGTGCTATGCCTGCTGGATAGAGGGGCCCAGACCTTGGGAGGAAGCCTGAGAGCATCTGATTCCCACCTGTCTTGGGCCTCCTGAGTAGCTGGACTAGAATCATCTGATCCCTATAATATAAAATTAAAAGAGAGAACCTGAAGCTTAGACCAATCAGCTTTTCATACCCAATAAGAAAACAAGCAAGGCACATCAAGTACACAAACAAAAACAGACTTCAACTAAAAAATGAAAGACTTGAGTCTCACACCAGAATCATAAACAAGAAAAGAGCCCCACTCTGCTCTCTGCCAGCCTCTCTCTCAGGCAGGCTCCAATCCCTTAGCCTCAAATCCCAGGACTAACTTGCAAACTCAGATTA